GAGTCCTGTTCCCTGCTTATGTTCCGGAGTCCTGTTCCCTGCTTATGTTCCGGAGTCCTGTTGCCTGCTTATGTTCCGGAGTCCTGTTGCCTGCTTATGTTCCGGAGTCCTGTTGCCTGCTTATGTTCCGGAGTCCTGTTGCCTGCTTATGTTCCGGAGTCCTGTTGCCTGCTTATGTTCCGGAGTCCTGTTGCCTGTTTATGTTCCTGAGTCCTGTTACCTGTTTATGTTCCTGAGTTCAGTTACCTGCTTATGTGCCTGAGTCCTATTGCCCTGCTCCCAAGGTTTTCATGCCCTGTTATATCCTGTGAGGGTATTCTGTGGTTTGTTCCTAGTTTTTGGTTGCGATTACTTATTTGTGGGTTATGTTATGTTTTGGCTCCTTATAAATAAAAAAATATAAAAATATATATATAAGCTCAATTTGCCTAGTCTGGTGTGGTCATACATGTTTGGTCTGCCTGTGTGGGTACCTGCACATGGTGTGGGGACACCTGTGACAAGTATACTTTCTGGATGTCTTCAGCAAACAAAGAGCGGACATTCTACCTCCACACGTCCCTTTGACTCTCCCATTGAACTGTTACCAGGGGCAAAGATTCCTTATGGACATATTTACCCTTTATCAGAACCTGAACTAGAAGTTCTGAAAGGATACATCTCGGAAAATCTAAAGAAAGGGTTAAACCGCCCATCTACCTCCCCTGCGGGAGCTGGAATATTCTTTGTAGAAAATAAGGACAGTACGCTACGCCCTTGCATAGACTACAGATCAGATGTCAGTAAAGAATCGGTATCCTCTTCCTCTCATTCCAGAATTGTTCCAAAGATAGCGCTCTGCTACAATCTTCACCAAGCTTGATCTCAGAGGGGCTTACAACCTTGTTAGAATCCGAGAAGGGGACGAATGGAAGACCGCTTTCCGTACTCGTTTCGGCCATTATGAATACTTGGTCATGCCTTTTGGTCTCTGCAATGCCCCTGCCACTTTTCAGCACTTTGTAAACTATATTTTCCGGGACTTTCTTCACCAATTCTTGATAGTATATCTGGATGATATCCTTATTTTTTTCTTCCTCTCTGATGCAGCATCGGCAGCATGTGAAATTAGTTCTGGCCAGACTTCGACTTTTTGGACTGTTCATAAAGGCCGAGAAGTGTGAAATAGAAAAACAGACCATTCAATTCCTGGGCTTTGTGATCTCCACTACGGGTGTTGCTATGGACCGTCAAAAGGTGTCCCCAGTTCTGGAGTGGCCATTGCCCAGGGACAAGAAAGGAGTGCAACGTTTCATTGGCTTTGCCAATTTTTATAGAAAATTCATTAAAATGTTTTTGGGTATTATATTTTCTATCACACAGCTTACTAGGACGCAGGCCCGTTTTTAATGAACTGATGCAGCTCAGGTTGCCTTCTCGGAACTGAAAAGTCTATTCACGGCTGCACCCATTCTCAGACATCGTGAACCCACATCGCCCTTCGTCCTGGAGGTGGATGCATCAGAGACCGCAGCTGGTGCAGTACTCTCCCAGAGGCAAGGTCCAAAGTCATAGTTACATAGTATTTGAGGTTGAATAAAGACATTAGTCCATCAAGTCCAACCTATTAGGATCTCATTCTAGGAGTACCTGTACCCCTGTATATTACGGTCCCTTAAGAAATCGTCCAAAAGTTTCTTGAACAATTCCACATTCTTTGCTGAAATCACTGTCTGTGGCAGTGAGTTCCAGACCCTAACTGATCTTACTGTGAAGAACCCCCTTCGCCCCTTGTGCTGGAATTTTTTTTCCACCAATTTTAGGTGGTGGCCTCTAGTTTTTGTAATGGAGTTAATTTTAAACAGTTTATCGCTAATGTTGCTGCCACCATTGAACATTTTGTACATGGAGATCATATCCCCCCTCAATCTCCTCACCTCCAATGTGAACATGTTTAAATTTAGTAGCCTTGTCTCGTAGCTCTGGTCCTCCATACCCCTAATTAGTTTGGTTGCCCTCCGCTGGACTTTTTCCAACTCAAGGACATCTTTTCTTAGTACTGGTGACCAGAACTGGACCGCGTACTCCAGATGAGGTCGAACCAATGATCTATAAAGTGGCAAAATTATAGACTTGTCCCTGCAATACATCCCCTTTTTAATACAGGACAAGACCCTGCTAGCTTTGTTTACAGCAGCCTGGCACTGCAAACTACCTTTCAGTTTGTGGTCTACAATGACCCCCAAATCCTTCTCCATTTCTGACTTCCCTAGCGGCATACCCATAATTGTATAACCCATTTGTTTATTTTTAATTCCAAAGTGCATTACTTTGCATTTATCGACATTAAACCTCATCTGCCACATTAATGCCCACTCCCCTATTTTATCCAGGTCCTCCTGTAATGTTATAATGTCTAAGTCCGTGTCTATTACCCTCCCAATTTTGGTGTCATCCGCAAACACGGAAATATCGCTGTTAACACCCTCCCCGATGTCATTAATAAATAAGTTGAACAATATGGGACCCAGCACAGAACCCTGAGGCACACCGCTCATTACACTAGCCCAGTCTGAAAAGGTGCCATTTACAGATACCCTCTGGACCCGTTCCCGTAGCCAGTTCTCTATCCACGTACACACCACCTCATCTATGCCCATAGCCCTCAGCTTGTGTAGCAAGCGTTTGTGTGGTACCGTATCAAAAGCCTTTGAGAAATCCAGATATACCACATCTACCGGCCTCCCTCCATCCATATCTCTACTCACCCCCATCCATTCAAAAGTCCCTTTTGCATCCTGTGGTACTGCGGGAGGGAGGATGGAGCGCATGGCGGCACATACAAGCGATTGGACGGCTATAGAGCCGCCGATTGCTTGTATGTGTAACAGCCGTTATCGGCTGTACATATTCCTGCCCGCGAGCAGCAAAAAAAATACTTACATTTACGTGACCCACCCGGGAAGGATCCACCGTCCTCCCATAATTTTACAATGGGTGGATGTCAAGGGGTTAAAACTCTCTATTTCATGTCCCATATGATATTTTCTGCTGTAGATTAGAGAGACTGCAGATAAGTTATTAAATCGCCCCTGATCTCTGATTTTAATAGCCAGTACAGCATTCCCATTGACAGCCCAGTACAAGCTGATCTGTAGGGGATAACAGTCTATACAAAATACAAAACTAGGTTTAACACAAAATCAACAAATTTTCAACCTATACAGTATGTTAAATTAAGGTTTTAGAACACAACAGAGGAAAGAGTCTTACCCCACGGTCTTGTAGCTTCATATTTAAATCCCAGTCATAGGCTCCTCTTCTGGAGTCATATCTTCTTCCCAAGCAGTGACGATTTTTCACATCCCAGTACCTTTCAATAGGAAAGAGCTTGGGTTCAGGAGACTGCCAGAATTTAAAGATGTATTCCAGTTCATCCCGCTCTTTGAACTACAAGAGTATAAAGAAAGAATACATGACCATGATGCATGTGCTAAAATGTGTGATTCAAAAACAAGAACCATGCATCATGTTGTAATATCTGGTATGAGAGTATGTTTGTAGGGAGCAATCTATTTATTCAGTGTGTATAAAAGGATAGACAAGGAGACCACATTTTAGTAACTTATGATGAATGTCTTGGAAGATGGCAATCATTTTTATTAACATTGTGCCTGTCATACTCTGTTTAGGGGGGATGTCCACAGGAAACTGCTACAACGAGAGGCCCTGTGGATCTTCAAATTGAATACTCAGGTTCCACAGGGTCTTAACCATCGGTGGGACATTAGTTTACATCTTTATTGTTGTCAGAGTACCCTAATAATAGTATTTTACTATCGTATGGTTCCTTTACTTTATATTGTATACTAACAAGTAAATCTGCTCTATGGCACCAGAGGAAATATTTTCTATTAATACTTATCAAATGCATTTTACAAGATGTTGTTGGTGGATGCCCTAGCCTAATGCACGTGTTTTTGAAATTGTTATGTCCATAACACAATGCCTCCTAGGATTAGGATGAACTCCTTCAGTAATCTAGTTTTTTTTCTCTAGTTTTTGTGGAAGCGTGGATGGAGGAAACATGCATTTTTTTCTCCTCTGCATTCCTCCAAAGTTGGAAAATACATAGGAGGTAACATGCATCCATGACCCCCTTTTTGATCCATCCTTTTTTTTTGCTTATTTTGGAAGCATGTAAAATGGAGGTGACATGTGTTATTATTTTTTTTTTTTTTCCTCCTCCAGCCTCTGTCTTTCTCATATTGGAGGATTGCATGAAGATAACACACATCCCTTTTTTTCTTTTCTCTCTTTTTTGTCTCTTAGTTTCCAGTGTATTGCGGAAACATGCGTTTTGTTGTGTTATTTTTTGTGGAGGGGTGCTTCCTATTCTTAGAGGAGATGATGAGCTTAGAAAACTGTTGCAATATGAAGCCCTGCGGATCTCTTATTGTAATTTTAGATTGCACAGGTACTTAACTATCGGTGGGTCACTAGTTTTATACAATTAGTGATTGTCATGCAATTTGATGTTGTTCCCACTTTCATTATGGGTTTTACTATTTAATGGTTGATTTTGATGATATTCACCCATAATTCTGAAGCATGTACTCTCCTTTTCCTCTGCCTTGTTTTTTATGTAATCACATGGACTGTTTATTAGATACAAGTGCTCCTAAGTGTTTCTACCTGCCCTGCGTGGTGTGCTATTTTTGTGGGGTTGGTGTTAGATCACAACCATCTATGACTAAGGCCGAGTAAGGCAGAAACACCTCAGGGTTGTTCTTTGTATAGATGCATGTGGAATAAAGTTTGAATTTCTTTAGAAGATCATCGTGTGCTGGTTCTACAGTTTTTAAACGCCCTGGTAGAATGGGTTGCAACTTGAAAAGGAGGTTCCTGACCCTTAACAACATACTCACTGAACCACAGTCTGATTAATCCACCTTGATATAGTGGCCAACGAGGCCACCTGCCCTTTCCTGGTGCCATTTGGGACAACGGACAAAGAATCCGTCTTCTGAAAAGAGGACACAGCCATCAGATAGACCCGAATAGCCCTGACCACATCCAAAGGATGAAGAGCCACCTCCTTCGGTTGAGAAGGCTTAGGACATAAAAATGGTAGAACAATGTCCTCATTCAAATTAAAAGAAAAGACGTTGAAAGGCGACTTTGTCCTAATGCAGGGCCAAAAAAGTTGACCACAGGACAATGCCGCCAACTCAGACACGTCATGTCAAAGTAATCGCCTCCAAAAAGATAAACTTCTTAGACAATGTAAATAAATAAATCCCCATAATAACTTTAAACTGCGACTTCTGTAAGGCAGACAGAATCTGGTTCAGATCCCATGGTGGTTTTAAAGGATCCCATGGTGGTTGAAGGGAAGAAAAAACTCTAGCAATCGAGAAACAACAAGGGTGAAAAGCATTGGACTCCATGCAAAGTAAGCCTGTAACTAGACTTACAAGCCGCAGCCTCATAGAGATTACCACAGAGGAAAGACAGGATGGCAGATTTCCTGCGAAAGAAGATCTGAACATAGCAGAAGACGCCAGGGAGAGCCTGAGAGTAAAGGCTGGACATGACCAATTTGGAACAACCAGGATAACAGGAATGTTGTCCAACTCTATCCTCTGCTACAGGTGTGGCAAAAGCTTTAGAGGAGGAAACGCATGAACCAGCAAATGTCTGTACCACGGTGCCACCAGTGCGTCCGCCAAAAGATCCCGAGTCCTGAAGCAAAAAAAAACAGGTGGATGAGACTGAAATTCGATCTTGTACCCTGAAGAAGCCACCTCTTGGAGTTCTGTGAATAGAAGTAATTTCCCCACCTTGCGATTTCCTTGGTGCGGGTGCACCTTCATGCTGAGGAGGACTTATCCACAGGTTTAGAGGGCTTGTGCTGCCAGGGACAGCGCGCACCACATCTGACAGGAGAAATAACCATTTTGGTCTTGTACGAGACGCCTTGGCGGCAAAAAAGATGTTTGTGAGCAGGAAAGTAAGCCCCTGACTTCCACTAACCCACCTTAGCCTTTCTAGCCTGTGGAAGAAAAGTATTCCTACCACCCCTGAGATTTTTGATAATCTGTCCATCGAAGCCCCAAACAAGCGCTTACCCACAAAGAGCATTTCAGTCAAAGTCTTCTTAGACATTTGGTCTGCCAACCAACACTTGAGCCACAGTATGTGGCAAAGAACCACCAGTGACCAATTGACCCAAGAGTCCTATTGCCTAGAGTCCAACGTCACATCACTGACATATTTCAGTCCCTGAACTGATTGGGAAGCTCAACATACGCTGGAGGAACCTACTTGAAGACCAATCCCTGACATAACTGTTTTGTCACTTTAGTCAGAGTTTGCGTGAATAGGGCAGAGGCAAAAACCGGCCTAAGCAAAGCAACTTGCAACTGTTGAGGTGCAAGACTACTGGTTTCTTTTTTTTTTTTTCAGCATGTAATATTTATTGAGTTTTATAAATCACAACGGGGGGACAAAGATAAAGGATTACAATAATGGTCTGAGAGAATCAGAAAAAAAGAAAAGGCATGAAGAATAAAACTAAACAGTGTAACATCTTAAAATATAATATTTAACCGCTAACACCAGAATACAGATCAAAAGGTCGCTTTATCATTATAGATAGCCATATATTCAGAGTCAATGGTATTAATGTGGGACATTAAAAGGCATCAAGGGATATCACATAGGTACATTTAAGGGGATGTATACAATACGGGAACTTGAATAATTAAAGTTTGTAGTGGTGTAGTTAGGCGCTTCTTGATTAAAGGATTTCTGAACTACCCATTGAACCATCAAGTTTAGCCATAAGGTACCATAAGGAGTGATGAAAAGTGGACATTATATCTTGTAATAGTTCTAGGCCATGAGGAGGAAGGGGGCAAACTATGCAAAAAACTTCCTAATTCGAACTTGTATGTATGAACGTCTATGTAGAATTGAAAGCAAATCCGTCATGGCAGGAGTTGCTGAAATTAACCAATTGGAGAGAATAGCTTTTTTTAGAGGCTAGTATGCAAAGATGTTCCCATCTAGAAATAGAGGGGGAGTTTGGTGATGACATATGGTGTATATCATGAAGAAGACAAAAAATAGGTCGCAGTGGACTAGTATTTCCCGATAAGGAGTGTATACAAGTCAAAATTTGTGGCCAAAACGTTTGTATCATAGGGCATGTCCAAATCCAATGTATAAAGTCAGGGTGGTGAAGATTACATTTGGGACAGTGTTGCAATTGGGTGGGATGGGGGATGGTGTAAAAATAAGTGCATAACAGGCCAGATCAAAACAATTTGCAAAAATTGGAGTTCCCTCCACGACTCACAAACAATACATTCTCAAATATGGCTCCAGTACGTTTACATAGGTGTCCTCCAAAGAGCATTCTGTTAGTTGAACCCAGGGGCGGACAAAAGTTGGGGAAGAATGCTCAAGTCATGAAGAGTAGGGGAAAAGATTGGACAGTGAAACTTTATCAGATTAGGATGCCAATAACTATTGGAAAGTAGCGAGGGATGAGTGATGTGGAAGTGTAGACAATGGGCAATTTGCTCATACTGTAGGAAATTAGTAGGAGGGATATGGTACCGCATAGTGAGGTCTACAAATTCCATACAGGTGCCTTCAGGTGTCATCACATCTTTCAATGAACAGATGCCCTTGAATGTCCATAACCTAAAGTTTTTAGAATCAGCTCCAATGGGAAAACAAGGACGTTATGGGCACTGAGGAAACAGTGCCCGGTAATCGTAGTAGCTTCCTCACCCAGCGGTGTATTTACACTTTCTGCTGCCCCAGGCAGGACAGCAACGCCGCTGCTCCCCCCCGCCACACACTGACATTTCGCCGACTCACCATGTAACGGCTCCCCGCCCCGCCCCACACTGACATTTCGCAACTCACCATCAGCACCCCCTTTCCCCCCTGGACTGACCATCACTCACTGGACTTACCGGCACGGTATCTGGACATCACCGCAAGCCGCCGTCCGCGGCCCCGCAAACCGCCGTCCGCGTCCCCGCAA